TCAGAGCCACAGCTGCACTCATGAATGCAGACCGCGGACCCCGCTCCTCTGGCCCTCGTGAGAGAGCCAGGCCGAGCGCGGGTGCGGAGCCCAGGAGAGCGAGGCGGGGAGACCGGCCCTCCCGCGCCCCGGGAGAGGAGTAAACTGACGCGCAGACGGACTGTCGGGTCCGGGAGCCCCAGAATGAGGCTGAGGCCGCGGCGGGAGGCACAGCCCCGGGTGCCCCTCAGCTCCGACGCCGTCACGCGGGACTGCACCGCGAGACAGGCGCAGAGCGCGGGGATTTCTCTGTGTCTGTGCCCGCGGAGCTTCCCCGGTGCTCTGTCCCTGGTCCCGGAGGCTCCTGCCTTCTCTGGGCTGCGGAGAGGGGAAGAGTGGAGAGGGGCGCCGCTGGAAGTGAGGCGGAGTTGTGAGAAGTTGATCAGTTGGGGTCCCAGGGCATAGTGCTCCGCCCTCCTAGGCGTCCGGGTCCCCAGCATTTTCTGGGAGGGTCAGCGCTGGGTTGAGCCTAGTGTCTCTCTCCACAGCGCCAGGAGGAACCAGGCCCAGATGTCTCTTTGACTCAGAAACGGGCTTGGAAGAAAAGATTGAGAACGAGGGTGTGTGTGTGTGTGTGTGTGTGTGTGTGTGTGTGCGCGCGCGCGAGCACGCGCGCGTGCCAGAGGGTCTGTGGTCCTCCCCTCAAGCGCTAAAACCACACTTTTCTTCCTTTTTCTGACCTGCTGGGGTGAGCTAGGTGCTAGGGTAGCAAAGGTGCTTCGGCCTGTGCAGAATCTGGTTAAGGGTGTCTGTGAGAGTGGACTGTGGACACGCTGGCATAAGTGGCAGTGGCATGGCTGGGTGTGTCTCTGGTGCAGCCTCCATGACTCCTATGAGTGGGTGAGTGGGTATGAGTGTGTGTGTCCGTGCCATAGTGTGTGTCCAGTGTGCATGTGAATGGTTAGATGTGTGTACCCATCTGATGCCAGATACCCACAGTGGAAGAGCAAGCTGGGGACATAATTATTTAATTGGGTTGTTAACAACTACTCCACTCAGGGTTTGGGACTTGGGGAAAATGTGAGGATAAACAGGGCGAGGGAAGGCCTACTGGTCCTATGGAAAGAAGGGAAGGAAGGAAGGAAGGAAGGAAGGAAGGAAGGAAGGAAGGAAGGAAGGAAGGAAGGAAGGAAATGAAACTACAAAGTGATTTGGGTGGGTACAGGAGAGCAGAATTGCACCCAGGGTGTTAGAGGGGGATCAGCATGGACTAACTGTAGGTGTGACAGTTTATGGACCTGGGGCCTGGGGCTGCTGGAGTGTGTGTGTGGAGGGAGAGGTGAGAAAGGAGGTTGATAGCATTTCAGGAGGGCACTGGGGAAAGTGTGACCCAAGCTCGGATGAAGGCATCCATGCTGCTGGTGCGTGGTGAGCCTTGCACTCATGGCCTGACCCCTGGAGTGGCAGCCAAACTCCGTAGTGGCTCCCACGAGGGCCAGGCCCTCCTCCTCCCCACCCCCAGTCCAACAGATCACTAGCTGCCTCGCCCAAGTGCCACCTCCATTCTGCATTTCAGTTCTCCAATCTGACTTGCTCAAGTTTAATCTTTATTATTCCAGTTAGATGTGCCTTGCATAGAAAAAATATAAGCAGAAGCAGAAACAGAAACAGAAAGCAAACACTGGGGTCAGTACCCCCCATCCCCCATCCCTCACGATTCTGCCTGCCACACATGAGGCCCTGTTTCTGTGCAAACACACATGCAAAAACAGCACCTGCTGGACCCTGCCAGGCTTTGTTTTCATCGTTTTAATTTTTCATTTCACAAATGGCATCTTTCCGTGCCAGTAACTCGGATCTCAGTCCAGGCTTCCCTTCTGGGGTCTGTGAACGGACTTTCAGGCTTGCACACACTCCTGGGTGAGCCGGGCCATCCTTCTAGGAGAGATGGGGGCCTCCCTAGAGTCCCTTGGAACCAGGACCCTGGAGGTTTGGACAGCTCTCCCTTCTTTGGCAGCTCCAGGCCAGCTGGGTATGGACCCTTGGGAGTTCCAGTCTTCTCCTTTCTCCTGCACCCTTTATTCTTCCTTTCTCACATTCTCCCTCCACAGCGTGGAATTCGACTGCCCACAGGAGTCTCAGCTCTCTCTTCTCCACAGGCCTGGGCGGGGGGCCCAGCTTCTATGCACGTGCACTGGGACTGAGTGAGGAAGTTGGGGCTTCTGGGCACCGAGGCTGCCAGTGTGTGCATGGGGATGGAGTGGGGAGGTGGACTGGTTTCCTGGCCAAGCCCCAGCCCCGACCCACCAGAACCCTTCCAGGCAGAGCAGGAAGTATAGGCAGCCACAGGAACAGGCTTTACACAGGCTCCGGAACCCCAGGCTGCCCCGGCCCCAGTGCCTCCCTAGACTTGCTGCCTGGTGGTCCAGTTCTAGCCCAGAAGGAGGGTGGTGCAGGACCAGTAGGCTCCCACTACATTCTAAGAGAGAGACTGTGTCTTGGTGCACCACCCCTTGCAGGTCCCTGGTGAGGAAGGCTGGGCATACTTGTGCCCAGTACAGCTACTGAGGTGAGGGTGTGCTGGGGGTGGGGAAGTGCAGGGGGGTGGAGGGGAGGGGAGCTAGCCCTTCTGAGAGTCTGCATATGTGGGGAAGCAGAAGCCCCTTGAGACACCGTCTGGCTCTGGGGGGCCCTCCTGCCCAGGGTAAGGGGAAACACAGAGCTGAAGCTGAAGATAGGTGAGTCCCCTGGTGCGACTTCACGGTATCGGGAGTCCTCCTCCCTGGTTCAGACCTGGGCCTATGCCTGCTGCTCTCACCTTCACCACCGGTCTCCACCTATAGCCTCACAGCCCTCCCAACAGGCCAAGACTCCAGAGAACAAACGAATTACCTATTTCCTCTTCCCTTTTGTCTCCAGTTGGGGACACTGAACATGGGGCAGAAGAAGGGGGATCCCAGCCGCTAACGGGCAGGGCAATGGTGGTGCAGGTCCTCCAATCTCAGTGGGTGGAATGGGGGCAGAGTGACAGGCAGGGGCCTCTGGATCCCAGCTCCACACGGAGACCCTTGAGAATTGAGTGTCCCGAGGTGTCTCCAAAGATCGGCCTGAGTTGGGAAGGAGACCATCCTCTGGACTCACTTTGCTCAGTGCCACGGCTACCTTCCAATTCCTGTCTCCTTTGGGGCGTGGGCCCCATCCCATCACTCTCTAGGAACCCTCCATCCCTGCCTACTCACCTTCTCCTCACCGGCTGTTGCCGGTGGAACGAACTTCCCGTGCCTCCTTGGGGCAAAGAGCTGGTGCCTGTGGATAAATAGCACGCACTCCCAAGACCCTCTCTAGGGCTGGCCATGTGAGGCCTATCCTGGGTGCTGGGAAGTGAAGGTGTGTGTGGGGGATAAGGGTTCCCAGTGCCCCACAGCGGAGTCTGTCTGTTCTTGGCTGCTGGTGTTGGTGCAACCACAGAGCCTTCAGCATCCTGGTCAGGCCTCAGAACCTGGCTCTAGCCCCTTTTCCTTCTGCATCCCTGGCGATGCTCTGGCAGGTGCACAGGTTGGGGCCCTTAGACCCTGCTCAGCCCAGCTCCTCTGGTGTCGCTTCCTTCTCTCGAGGCTGGGGCCTGGCCTCTCTCCCACGATGCATGCAGGCTGGTCGAGCTTGCAGCTGCATGGGGCACCTTCCAGGGTTCCACCTGCTTCTTTCCTGTCCCCCTCTCCCTTTGGCCTCTCTTTCTCTACCACCGCATCCCCTCTCTCAGCCTGCTAATCTTCCCAGCCATTTTCCAGGGCCTAGAGGCTCTGGCAGCCTGCTCTATTCGCTTTCTGCCCAGGTCTTCAGCCTGCGTCTCTTCTCCTCCAAGGTTCTGGGGCTCACCCAAAGGCCTTTGGGAGCTCCTGAGTGACAATCCCCCTGTTCCTACAGAATTAAGTCCCCAGGCCTGCTATTCACTCTGGCATCACACTGGAATGGGGGATCTGTGGCTGAGGGGAGCAGGGAGCTTGGGGCGAGCAGGGAGCAACAGTTCTTCAAGGCTTCAGCCCAGAAGGAGAGTCCATGACCTAAGGGATCTGCACCCCACTTTCTTCTCCAGCCGCCTGCCAGGGCTCCACCTCTAGCACCTGGGATCCTGCCCTCTGTATTAGCCTGCTTGGGGGGACTCATTGTCCCACCCCTGGTTGAACAACTTGCATTTTGAAATGCGATGGGATGCTACTGAAATTCTTTACGATGAGCACAATTTTTATAAAACCATAAATGTATGTATACATTT